GAAATTTTGGAGTTTTTTTCTCTTTAAAATAATTTGTTTTAAAAAAACAAAGAAATGAGCTACATGCCATTCTGCTGTCGAGGAACGTGGTTTGCTCCTCCTCTTGTATGAGCTGGCGGCTTTTCTGTTTGTCTGACTTTCGACCATCAGTAGAGAGCTTCCCTGCGCGCCAGCAGAATGATGGGGAGCGGGAGCCTCTGAAGTGATAGGCTGGATAAAGTGTATTCAGTGCCCCGCATATTCCAAGTTACCACTGGTGCCCATGGACTTGGTGGAAGAGCTGTGTCTGCAAAGAGGTGTGACAGCTTAATCACTGCACTCCAGGTTCCCCTCATTCTTGCCACAGTTTACTAGGTGAGGAAGCTGAGGCCTCTCAGTTGATCTCTCGACAGGTGCATCAGGCGGAGAGCCAACTGTTTTGTGTTCTGTGACTGCCTGGGGTGGGGGCGGGGTGTCCACCTGTAGGGGTGTGTGTCGTATTTGGTGTGCTTTATGTTAAACATTGATTTATCTCCATTAGTGGGCAATGCACATGGCATTGTTGCCCCTTCCTTCTAACGGATTGTATTCCAGCACAATGCTTCTCAAACCTGAATGCACACAAATCACCTGGAAATCTTGTTAAAATGCAAATTCTGATTCGGTGTGTCTGGGATGAGGACTGAACTCCCGTAGTGCCAGTGTGCTCTCAGGCGATCCGAACGTTTCTGATGCGCAGCCCACATTTTGGGTAGCAAGGCTGCAGCAGATGGGTGTGTGCTTGAACTTCTATCTGTACATAAACACACATGCGTGTACATGTTTGCATGCACAAAGTCTGGAACAGGCGCGTCATTTATAGAAAGAAAAATCTCAATTAGAGGTTCCTGAAATGCCATCTCATCATAACAGTGCCCCTGATCTTGTGCTATGATGAATTATTTGTATCAAGTCATTGTTTCTGTTCTCTAAAACAGCCATTATTCATAACTTGAAGTTAATGAGTGTATATTGCTCTCCAGGCTCTATTTAAATTGCTTGCACATCTCATTGATTCTGAAAACCAATGTCATTTTATTGCCCTCATTTTGATTATATTTTAGAGGTTTATTGATAATCAAATAAACATGAAAGCAAATACCATAATGGAGTTTCTGGTTACTTACTAAAATGACGAGGTTTTTAAAGAGTCTTTTTTTTTTCCCCCAAGACTCAATTATGGTTTCCTCTGTAGGATATTCCTTTCCTGTCAGTGGAGTGATGGCCGTGAAAGTAGGCTGCTCTGGGAAGATGTATTTAATTTATATGCTTTTGTTTGCCGTAAACTCTTCCAGGATAATGAAGGAATCCACCTATTAAGATTGCCCTCTCTTTCCAGTTTCTTTGATGATTTATTGCCTAAGAGTAGGTTGAACATTTAGATAGGGAAGACTGTTGATTAAAAGGCCAACAGCATAAATAAGGATAATGATATATCAGCTCCCAGTTGTAAAAAACACCTACTTTATATTGTACTTTGAGCTTCTTACTTTACATATATTCATGTTTTTCAAACTTAGATCTGCAAACCTGATTGCATTACTTAAGGATGCTTTAATTTTGCTACTGTTCTGGAAGATGCCCTATAACTACATACTCATGCTTGCATTTAGAAAGGGAAAAAAAAGACTAAACCAGAGCTGCAACTAGGGTAAATAAGGATAGGGAAAATTTGAGGAAGCCCCCACAAAAAAAGAAATTAGGGGAAAAAAAAAAACTCAGTAAGCCAGATGGAGATTGTACTGCAATATTTTTAAAAGAAAAAAGGCAAAAAGTATCATGGTATCAAAATTTTTAAGTAGCGATAGGATCTAACCTTAGTACTTGCACAATTCAGCCAAAACTCACAGTACTCTCAGATCTGCTGCAACTTCGAGTAGTTGAAAAGATGTGAGCTTACGTTCCTAGCTACTGTGACCTTACACAACTGTTCAACCTATTTTCTTACCTGGAAATCGGAGTTATCATGGTACATGCCTGCCTGTTAGGATTTCTGTCGAAATTAAATGAGCTCACATAGGAGAATGACCAAATATGAAGCCTGGTCTATAGCAAGCATCACAGCTCCCCTTCCTCTCTGAGAGATCCCTGAACAAAGCCAGCGTCTTACATTTTACGTGGCGAGCGTTACATTATGAGCCCCTAATCTGTCAATTTCATACTTTTGATTCCACAGAGCAACAAGAAGGCTGAGGTCCTTAACCCCATGATCAATAGTGTATTGTTAGAGGTAAGTGGCCCCAGGAGAGAAGGTATTTCTGAATCAAAGCAAATGTTAGTGCTAGATTTTTTTTCTCTTTTTGGCTTTCTCCCAAGCAGCAAGTGTTACTGCAGCACTTCTAAATCTTAGCAGTAGCAGTGTTTTTGAGTACATTCGTGTGGCTCAACCAGCTGTAAACCCTCTGGTGAAGCAACAATACCTAATTTTCAATAATTTCTCTTTATAAAAAGAAACGCTAAGCTTGCACGTTATTTCTGTCACTGCTTCCTCCAGCCAAGGCAGATTTCTGTTGCCAAGTTGGACACCAGATTTAACACTGTGCTTATTGGCTGCCGTGAGGGATTATTGTTCAATATGATTTTCGTAAAAATGGGCATTTCCTTCCCTTCACAAGAACCTATTGTTCAGCTGTGTCTAAGCTCTGGGTTGGCAAAAAATGAGAGAATGTGTGGCCTCTGCCCGTTCAGGGACAAGGGCACCATCCCCTGTGACTGCTCACTCCACGGCCAGCCTGCACATCGGGACTTTGTAGCACCGGTGATTCTAGCATGAAGCCGCCCCAACACTGGCATGGCTTTGCTAATAACGGTGATATAAGACAGAAGAAAAGAGGCCTGGGAGCTTTCTCCTTTTGGAGCATGGGCACTGTGTTCTACCAGTAGTTGTTGGAGGAAATGTTTACACTATGGGCAAAACATCTGTAGCCATTGGGCACCCCCAGATCCACAAGATGTTCACAAGCTGAGGCTGCGCATGGGCAGTGCTTATCCAGTAGTGTTTGCTTTCTCAAGTGCAGTCAGTGGCAAAACTGGGAAATGACAAGTTGTTCAGAGGGCTGTGTAAATATGTATACCAGTGTATTTGGGGGTCGTACCTTACTATAAGGAAAGCTACCCAGGGATAAACATAACAGTGACAATGCTGAGAGCTAGTCCGTGGTCACGCAGTGCAGTGGAGCCAACCATAAGGGACAGGAGCTGTGGGGACAGGTCCAGAATGACAGATACATATAAGAGGAAACCCTGGCAGTCAGAAGTAAAAAATAAAACAAAAATATCTGATGAATTAGACCATTTACCTCATGAGTCATCACAAACATGAGGGCAAATGTTTATTCCCCTAGTAAAAATTTTCCCATTATAGTTACCTTGAACTTGATTGATTAATTGATTGCCGTACTGGAGACTGAACCCAAGGTCTTCACACTGAGTTACGTCCTTAGCCCTTTTTGTGTGAATGTTTGTTTGTTTGTTTGTTTGTTTTTGAGACAGCGTCTTGCTCAGTTTCTCAAGCTGGCTTTAAACTTGGATCCGCCTGCCTCAACCTCCCAAGTAACTGGGATTACAGGCATGCGTAACACACCCAGCTAACTTATTTTACTGTCCTGGGGGTCAAACTCAGGGCATTGCTCATATAGGCAAAGTGCTCGACCACTGAGCTACCTGCCAAGACCCATCCCAGACTTTAATAGGCTGTCTGTTTAGTACTGCTTAGTAATGTACCACAGTGCCAAAATAGCAATATCATACATACAAACAAGCAAAAGTATCTGCATGCATGTTTAGGTGACCATGTTTAAGGATTTGACCTTGAATAATTTACAATATCTCCAGTTAGCTTTCTGTAGATAGTTCTGTTTATAGAGCTATAGGTTATAACATGACCCCCTGATTCATACCAGGCTTTCATATGGCTTCAGGGCAGGTCATAGGTCACAGGTCACAGGTCACAGGCAGGTCACAGGTCACAGGACATGCACAGATGTGTGTTAAAAGCCCACAGAAATGGTTTGTTTCATTTTGAGTGAATTCTGTTAATGCAGATAATGAAGAGCTAGACATACTGTATCTACAAGAATGTGTTTACATTTGCTATAAGCACCAGCATTACCACAAGTGCATACTGTCCCAATTTGGTAATGTTCCCTCTATTCTGGGAGAATTGTCAAGACTGAACTACAGAAATAATCCCGCTTCTACATTTTTTCCTCTCATAGGGCTGCAATAGCACGACGTACGTCCAGGACGCCTTCCAGCTGCTGCTGCCTGTCCTGCAGGTCTCACACATCCAGACCAGTTGTTTGAAAGCACAGCCATGACCTTGCACGACACCCTGCAAGGTGAAGGACAGGCCACAGTGTGTGTGCGTGCACGGTTAAAGGGGATGTTTTTGATGCAGCTGGCCTGAGACGCCCATTGGAGAACACTACGAGCAGTTTTGCACAGACAGTATTAAGAATGAAGGTTTAAAGGGGATTACCATGCTTTTTGATGTATATGGTTGTTTTTGCAAATAATTGTGTTTTCTTTATGTTAATTTAAACTTATACAGTTTATATGGAAAGTTTCCTTTCATCTAAAATTCATTCACACATATTCATGTGTGTTTTTCCCAGTCAAGCATGCCTATATTTAGAGATTTGGAGGCAGACCCTAGATTTTTTTTTAAATCTTAAATTTCTGCCTTGAAATGTCACATCAATTTTTATACTGAACTTTGTTTTGTTACCTAAATGTCATGGGAAAAATAACACTACTTACAGATCTTTTCTGTTATGGTATAGGAGAAACATAAAGTTATTCATTCTTGCAATAAGCATTTACTGAGCACCTACTGTGCGCTCACAGTAAAGGAACACAGTCTCACCCCAGGTGAGGCAGATACTCTGAAAGACGGTTTACAAGATAATTCTTAAAAGACTTTGAAATACTAATAAATTTTCTAAATCTTAAGACATCAGAGAAGGTAAATTGGTGCTTTTTAAAATGTTCTACCCTTCAATTTTTCAAATTTATTCTATTTTTGTAACCTCCTTGAACTTTTTTAATCCCGAACTTTAAATACAGGGTAAAAATATGCATGAAAAGGGGTACTAAAGAGTATTTAATTTAAAACTGACCTCTTAAGATCATAAGCACACAATGGCATAATTTCAAAGCTTGGAAGTATTTAAATAGAAAATTGAAAGGATCCCAGGACTGTATTTTACAAATCTACTATACTGATCACTTTCACTGGTGGCAAAGGACAGAAAATACTGGCGTGTGGGTGACTGGCTGGTGTGTTGAAGACCTTCCTTGCATGTGGGGAACATCATGATGGACACTTCTGAGTCCCGCACGCTCATCACAGGTGACACTGTGTGATGCTCTTGTCCCACAGCCCCGCTGACATCCCCATCAGCAGTGTCAGAAGAAATCGTGCCCGGTGGCTCTCTCCAAGGCAAATGAAGCTTGTAGTTTTGCAAGGGGTGAACAATCCTTTGTTCACGTTTGCTTCTATTCCCAATAGAATCAACTGCCTTTGTTCCCTACAGACCACATAGGGATGTTTTAGTATCATCCTGCTTCTCATTAGCATTTCAGTTGCCTTTGTTCTGTATTTCATTTGTATATCTCTGAAACAGCCAAACAGAAACATCAGAACAATTTCGTTACAACTTGCAAAAATAAGATTCTCTAAGGAATCAATTAAAGATGTTTCTTTTGTCCTTGTTTTGATTGTCTGAAGTGTTTCTGTTACTAAGTCTAGAGGTGATTAACTGGTGCAAATGCTACACTTTCCTCTTCCTACATGTTAGAATTTTTATGTATAGCACAGAGGAAAGGAATTTGATTTATAATTTCTCACATGATTTTTTTTAGCATCACTGGCTAGAAATGTGAAAGAGACACAAAAACTTTCAAAGGAGCTAGCTTCCCAGACTTAGACTTTAAATCTAACTACACCCAATTTCGTGCACAGGAAATATTTAACATAAAATAAAGTAGACATTTTTTAAAAGAATAAGAGAGGGAATTATTTAAAATAAAGTGGTTAATATTACTGACATTGCATTTACCTTTTAATGACATAATGTCAAAGGTTGCTGAGTGCAGACACAGGCTAAGAAATGATTCCCTGGTCCGTGGTCTGTGAAGTACATTATTAAGGAGAATAATCGCTCAATATTTATCTACCCTCCAGGATTTCTGTCTTTCAATACTAGTTTTCACCATCCCTTTTAAATAATTGCTTCTCTGCTCTACTTTAGAAGCTAGCAAAGCAGAGAATCCATATCTGGACAAATGTCAGTCAGTTCCTGAATGAATGATTTAGCAGGATTACCGTGAAAGTTTTGTATTCCTTCAGTAATCCTTTACATAAATTGGGTTCATTGCACTCTATGCAATTATTCTGAACAAGCATGGCAGCTTTTCTCTTACTTCAAGTGCAAAAAAGTTCTAGTGTAAATAATGAATGTAGTTCTGTGCCTGAGCCTGATTAAATAAAAAAGCACCTAAAACATATTTCAAATTCAAAGTAAAATGCATTCAAGAAAAACTGCTTTGGGGTATTGGAAATGCACAGATCTGCACAGCAAAATTGAGTCCTAAATCTGAAAGCATGAGCCTGAGCTTAAACATTGCATCCCACCGAGAACAGAAATCTCTAGTTGCTCTGGGTCTCCCCCTGGGCTGCACGTCCAACGCAGAGTTGATGGTGCTGTGGCCCGCTGAGGCTGTGGCAGGAGCCAGCGGAGGTGTGCACAGCCTCAGCAACACCACCTAAGGCAGTGACGGCAAACCTTTTAAAGAAGCTTCCAGTGATGACAAACAGCTCACGCGGAACCCGTCCTATAGGTTCGCCACCACTGACCTAAGGGATGTACACCCTCTGCAGACCTCAGAGGGGAAGGCTGGGCAGGCCCAGCCCCCGGGGCTGAGGCTGCTGAAAGAAAGGGCTGAATACTCAGTAGAGCCTTGAATGCATTGATGGAAGTATTTCCTCGTGCTTCAGATGGAGTAACCAGCGACCGGAGGTGCTCGTATCTCCAAAGTCACCTTCTGCACAGGCTGCCCATGCTGAGTTTATGTTAGGAAAAAAGGCAGCTCCGAATCCTAACCATTGCAGAGGCCCAGGGTCAGGGAAGCAATCAGCAAAACTTTGATATAAGCATTGCATTTCTATTCCTTCCTTAAGAAAAATGTGTGTGTGTGCGTGCGCGCGCGCACGCGTGCATACTCTGAACAGATGGGGTTGATGATAATACATAGCTTCAAATGTCATTTAATTTTATAAAAGCAATTATTTTACAGGGTCAAGCTAGTTTTTTTGTATAATGTAAAAATTGCCCTTTGATCTTCCTCTTAAGCGTGTCTTACATTCTCATATTCAGAACCAGGCTTCAACTTGGTTTCTTCAATTACCATGTTTCTAAAGACGCATCACAAGAGATCATACTGAAAATCCATCTTAGAACGGCAATTTTGTCCGGTTTTGTAGTTGATCAGAATTCATAATGCCATAGGAGTGGATTCAGACCAGCCATTCTTCACGTAAAAGAAAACAAATGATGTGGTTAACCATGTGTTTTATTTGTCTGAGTATTTCATCCCTTAGGCAGTTTTATGTTCATTTTCTGTATGTTCACCCGTACGAGATGGTCTGCTGGAATGTCTGCTATTAAACAGTTCTGAAGGCAGATAACATTGTATTCATTTGTTTCCTTAGATCCTGACCATAATGAATTATTCTACCATTTCAACAGTTCGCCTTTAGCGATGATTAAATTATTACAACCCAAACAGTAAAAAGAGTGTATTGATAGGATTTCTGCTATTTCTGGTATCCAAGATCATCATAGTCTGGGACCAGAAACTGATTGTGAAGGGTTAGAATTTTGTGTTGGGATTTAAACTAAATTTACCTTTATCTGGATCAGAGAGGATTTTTCTCTGCATGAGCTGTCAGCCAAAAAGCAATGGGATTATGTCAGCCTGTGGTCGCTGGATTCACCTGACAGGTCTGCCTCTTCTATTAGCCTCAAAGGAATTTCTGTGCTGCAGAAGAATAATATGTGTATTTCTTAAATGCCTTCACTGAGTGTGGAAATTTGGGGTGATTTAGAGATGATCTGTCTCCCTGCCCTGGCTTTCACCACCAGGCTTCTCAGATGCTATTTGGAAGGAAAAAACAGCAGAGAAGCCAAGGCCAGATGGGTGAAACCTTGGCAAAAAGCAAAACTAAGCTTGTGCCTTTGGAGTCCTTGCCAGCTTTATTCTTTTCTGCTCTCAGGAATTTTTTTAAACAGTCATAAGTACCTGGCTTCCAGAATTAGCTTTTCACAATCTGCTCAATTTTCTCTATGTCTTGTTCTCTTTCTCGTTTTCTACACTTATGCTCTCCTTGTTTAACAGAAAACCATCTATCCAGGGGATTTCAATTATAATAATATATTTACTAGGTGCTGGGTTCTGTGCTGCATTTTTTTAAAATTTTTTTTGAGGGGGTGGTTCTGGGAATCGAACTCAGGACCTTGTGCTTGCCAGGCAGGTGCTTATGCCACTGAGCTATATCCCCAGCCCCCCTGCGTGTTTTATATACTGTACAGTCTCCCATTTCACCCCCATGGTCACCTTATAGGTAGATAAGGTTTCAATCTCTGCTGCCCCGATAAGAGCACTGAAGCCCAGAGAGCTTACACAGCTGGTCCAGAGTTACACAGTACAACGGAGCCAGGATTCAAACCTGGGTCAGCCCTGAATGGCATTTTGAACTATTACACAGAGCCTCCCAACAAGAGAAAAATGTAACACATTATTTTTAGAGACATCTGAACCCTGAGATTTATATGCTTAGCTCTCTTGAAGCTGTGAGCTAGATTTGTAGCTGAAAGCTTTGGTTGTCAGCTTTGGTTGTTTCCATGCAACTGAGAACAAACTGGGACTAAAGAGACACAGAATGAAGCCACGAGGGGTTCTTTGGCCCCTGGGTGGTTCTCACCGCAGGCTTCTTTGTCATTTCACAGGTATTTACTGTCAAGCAGCGTCTTGGTCATAGCAGCTCAGAGTCCTGGCCCTGTCTCGCAGGTGCCTTTGATGGCTCTGAAACGGCTCCTTTGTGTCCTCCCTTCCCCTCCCCCTGCTCTGATGCAGGGAAGCCCGTTTGTAAATCAATACCATCCCTGAAAAATCCTGAACTCTACCCACATCCTAGAGCATTTTGTAAAATGTTTTTCCTGCCTTGAAGATTACAGACTTGCCTAGGCAGCCTTTAACTGCATCTTCAATACTGAGTCCTGTGAGGTACTAAATAATGCTTTCTTTTATCTTGAACTTGGTGTCATTCCCTGTTGAGGCCAGGAAACTCTGATGGTGCCGATGATGGCGATGCCTTCTGTAGTGGATGTGCTGTCGAAAGCTCCATACGATGGCATATCTCCTGACTGAGAGCTTAACTGTGTTTCAGACACCTACTATTAGCACTGTACTTCTTCGATCTCATTTAATCCTCGCATCAACCTTATGAGATCACCTCTGTTATTATACCCATTTCACAGAGGAAAATGCAGCCCGGGGAGATAAAGTAATGTGCCTGTGGTCATCCAACTAATAATTAGAAAGCCTGGATTTTACATCCAGACCAAACCCATGGACAAGCAGATACTTGGTCATAAACAGAAAATTTGCAAAAAAAAAAAAAAAAAGCCAGGCATGGTGGTGTACCCCCGTAGTCCCAGCACTCGGAAGGCTGAGGCAGGAGGATTGTTGTGAGTTCAAGACCAGCCTGGGCTACAAAGTGAGCTCAAGGCCAGCCTGAATTGCGTAGTGAGACCCTGTCTCAAAAAGACAAAAAGAAGGAAGAAAGTAAGAAAAGAAAATTTGCTCATTTTCCCGTGGGCTGAATTCTCTTCTGCCCAATTCCTGGGCTCCCCCCTCTCTGTCCTGTGCCCTCAAGCAGAGACAAACTGCTCCCCAGTCTCCCTGGAAGAAGGCTAACTGCATTTTCCCTGCCAATGCCTCTGATCCCAGGAGATGGTGGGGAGCCTACAAGCCCATTCTCATGTTTTATATGTTGAATGATTCACTGTTCCCTGAAAACTGTGGTCACCTTTGCGTCTTTTACAAGGAAGACACCAGAGGAAAATGTGATTTGGGTGGGAAACCTCACTGCTAATAAGTGCTAAAGGACAAGAAAATAAATGGTGAACTGCCAAGCAGAAAAGACTCTGGCCTTTTCTCTGTCAGAAAAATTCATCTGTTCCTATGGAACATCTTAGTTAGGAATACTTTTATCCCAGACATTCTCCCGGCTCCTGCTTCACTCTTTTTGATCTTTGTTCAGAAGCCTTTGGAATGAGGCACCTTCACTGCTTCATGGTTTTTCTCTTTGGGACATATCACTACCTAGCATCCTTCACATCTTTCTCATTTGCTGTCTTACACTAGGAGGTAATTTTCTTGAGAGCAGGGAATTCCATCTTGTTTATCACCATTTTCCCAGCACCCTAAGCTGTGTTTGACACACAGTAGGTGCTCAGTGACTATTTGTAAGATGAACAAATATACCAAAATCTTAGATGTATAATCTGTAAATGCTGAATGAGACTGAAAGCCGCATTGTAGGGTAATTATTCATGGGAAATGGTTAGGTTGTGTAAGAAAATGTTGACTATGGAAGTAAACTGTGTCCATTTGAACAATATCTGGTGTGAACAATATTATATCCACAAATAGATGATATTTAGGGGCTTAGAAATGCATAATTTTTACAACCAATGGAATTTATAATTTTTATTACAAGGAACTCTATGCAAGTTACCTTTTAAAGTAGGATAGAGCTGGACATGGTGGTGCACGCCTGTAATCCCAGCACTCGGGAGGCTGAGGCGGGAGGATCATTGAGAGTTCGAGGCCAACCTGGGCTACAAAATGGGTTCAAGATCAGCAATACCCTGTCTCAAAAAGACCAAAAAAAAAAAAAAAAAAAAGTAGGATAAACTATAGTGAAAACTCAGAACCACACAAATAAGTTAACTGTGGCACATGGTACTATGAAATATTATGCTACCATAAAATAAAGAATAAAAGGAATGAAATAGCTCCCTACTGCTGACTCCAAGATTTATTGCTGATACTTATCTAAAATAACATGTTGACATGCACAAAAATACTATATACATATTTAGTCCAAACTATTAACACAAAAACCTATCAGCAGTGCTACCAGAGGTAGAAGAGGATGTGAAGAACATCAAAATTTGACAGACTAATCAGAAAGGACCCCAGGGTTATTTTTAATATTTACATTTTCTGCACGATAATGTTAATGGATGACTTATATAGCTAAATTTTGAAAAAAGCAAAACAAGAAGCAAAAAGAAATTAATTGTGACAGAGAGATCAGAGGATAAAGGCCTTCCAGAGATGAAAACTGTGCACAAGGGCCAGAAGCATCTAAATGATCTGAATTTCTTGCAAGTGTCTAAGAGAATGTTGATGACTGAACAAATCTCTCCCTGCTTTCCTCAGAAACGCTCAACTGAGTATTCCAAATGCATAATTTGTAAAGACTATGATGATGATGCAAACAGAGAAAGTTGTCATTTCCATTTCATTGGAAAAGTCCTGTAAATTCCTTAGCCAGATAGTCTCTCTAATCTTCCCATTCAACAGCTCAACTGAACAGCTCTGGGGCAGATAATGACTCCAGAGGCAATCTCAGAACTTCTGGAGGGAGGCACCACTCAGATGAATGAGCCTGTGGTTCAGAGTTATTAGTTGGATGCCCAGATGCATATCATATTTGCAAGAAGCAGTTTACAATCTGTTCATCTTGATAAATGCAGCACGAGGGGATTTAAGTCCCTGCATCTGCAATTTCTGTCTCTCCCTCTCCAAATGTATGGGGAAATTGTAGCCACAAATAACGTGTCAGGGTTGAATGAATTGAGGTCTCTGCTCCATTTCACTCAAAGGTTAATCAATGGAGAGCCGAGGAAAGTCCCAGCAGATAGCAAATATGAGTTCTCTTAACTTCCCAGAACCACAATGTGGGCTAATAATTTCCTTGGCAGTGCCCATGCTTTTGCACGCAGGGTAGTGAGGTGTTAAAGCACTGTGGCCATTTTGTGCATTTTTAAATATTTCTTCAATGATTTCTAAAGGGTCAGGACTGCTTGTACGTTTTCTACCAATGTAAAGTTATCTATCGGTGATAGCAGATGACATGTTTCTGGCTGGCTTGATGGTGGTGTGACTGATTATCAAGGAGGTTTTGGTCTGCTCTGCAGCCCCTGATAACATAGTGGGGCCATTCACGTGAGACATGGATGTTCCAAGTCAGTGCCTGCAGCCCACATCTTTCTTTCTTTTAAACCCGCTTGCACTTGGCGAAGAGCATAGAGCGAAAACTCACATTTACTCAAGGCAGGTGATGCACAAAATGACATGCTTGCTTGCTGAGCAGTACCCAGTCTGCCACTCGCCTGGTCATCTCCAGCTGGTTTCGCTGCAAAGGCAGCAGTCAGTCAGTGGCCGCCAGGGCATCAATATCAAGCACGAACATTATCCAACGGTCTGAAATTAGTAGGCTTCAAGGATGAAAGGCTCATCGGCTTTTAAAAGCAGGAATAAAATCCCCGCATATTGCATCCAAATGGTGCCTTTTTGCTTTTTAAGGTAGTCACATTTTTTTCATGCC